TTTAACATATGAAATGACCAATTTGCCCTCATATTTAACGGCAAATTGGATGAAATGTTGATGATTTAGATGGCAGGGGGAACATTGATAATAAAATTTAATTCGAGCCCTTAATTCGCTAAAAAAAAAGGTCATGGGGTAAATTGATAGTTATGTACAAGTTTAGGGGGCAATTCGGCAGTATACCCGTGAAAACAAGTATAGCCGTCCGTCTATACTAATTTTAAAAACAAAAAAACCCAAGTATAGCCCGATTTGCTATTAAAGAAATGCCAAACTCTTCCTTCCGAGCCCTTAATTCGCTAAAAAAAAAGGTCATGGGGTAAATTGATAGTTATGTACAAGTTTAGGGGGCAATTCGGCAGTTTACCCGTGAAAACAAGTATAGCCGTCCGTCTATGCTAATTTTAAAAACAAAAAAACCCAAGTATAGCCCGATTTGCTATTAAAGAAATGCCAAACTCTTGAAAATTATAAAAGGCCATATGAGTCCACGAATATGGCAAATCACAAAATTGCACTCTCACCACACACACGTAGGAAACACATGGCTGCACATACGAGAGAGAGAGAGAGAGAGGAGTTTTGTGCAAAGTGTGAGAGGGTGGGGAGGAGGGATGGTGATGCGATGGGTTTTGGGTGGGCGGAGGAGGCTGCTGCGCAGTAAGGGTTTAAAGTTGTTAGAAGCGGCGGCAAGAAATGAGAAGAAAATCTGTCAACATATATTAATTCTCTCTCTCTCTCTCTCATTGCAGGTGTATATACTCATGGTAGATGAAAAGCAGAGGCTTCTACAGGAAACCCAACACATTATGATATTCTGTAATGCAGAGTCTGGGGTTCTGGCTTGGGCACGGACCAAGTATCCTGTAAACCCAACACATTAATTAAGCATTTGAAATGATTTTGATATATCTTACAACCAAGGTTCAATTAATTCCAGTCTTCCCTATCATATAATTCAAAATTCAAGTTAAACAGAAATTTCAGAGAGTGTAAGACTTTTCTTTGTCTGGGCTTGAGCTTTCTTTGGTCATGAATTCTCCATTCATGAGTAAATTCAAATACCATTTTCCTTTTGGTCAGACTCAGGCATAGATGCAATCACCAAACATGTCATGAACACTTCAATGGAGAAATTGATGGTAGGGAGCTTAAGCACTGATTCGAGTAGTTTAGATCATTTAAAAAATAAAATAAAAATACTTGCGTAAAGCCGCTCGGGTATACCCTTTTTTTTTTTTTTTAAAAAAAAACGCCCGCGTATAGCCAAACGGCTATACTATTTATAGATTTGTAAAAGGGACCGGCCTAGCGCCGGAGTGAAAACAAGTATAGCCGCGCGGCTATAATCTTTTTATTTAAAAAAGAACGAGTATAGTGCGGCTATACTTTTGACAACAAACAAAGGACAGAGAATTTGTCTATTTAGGTGAGTTTTCTGCTATTTTTGAAATATTTTATAAAAACTGACATTTTTGAAATTGGGGGTCAAGTTTTGGCTATTTTTGATAAATTCTCCACCAGACACACGTAGGAAACACATGGCTGCACATACGAGAGAGAGAGAGAGAGAGGAGTTTTGTGCAAAGTGTGAGAGGGTGGGGAGTAGGGATGGTGATGCGATGGGTTTTGGGTGGGCGGAGGAGGCTGCTGCGCAGTAAGGGTTTAAAGTTGTTAGAAGCGGCGGCAAGAAATGAGAAGAAAATCTGTCAACATATATTAATTCTCTCTCTCTCTCTCTCATTGCAGGTGTATGTACTTGTAGCATATGAAAAGCAGAGGGTTCTAGATTACGAAAAATCCATACTCTGCATTACGAAAAATCGGCCTATGCGGCCTGGGCGGGTCTGGGAGGAGCTAGAAGGGTCTGGGCGGTGCTAGGCGGGACTGGGAGGCGCTAGGCGGGGCTGGGCGAGGCTAGGCGGGTCTGGACTGCGCTAGGCGCGTCTGGGCTGGTCTAGGCGGTGCTAGGCGGCGCTAGGCGGGTCTAGGCGGCGCTAGGCGGATCTGGGTGCCAGGGTTGGTCTGGTTCTGTTCTTTTGTTCTTTAAGCAT